CAATTAGCAGCATCTAGGAAGGTGTTGCTTGATCGACTTTTAGAAATTGATCAGACGATGGAGAAGCCGAAGGAAGGGGATATTCACCGCGTGAGAAATTGTCGAAATTGCAAGGCTTATGACGATGGTCCTCTATGTGTTCTATTTGAACTAGATGAATTGTTCCGGGTTTGTTACTCTTATTCTTTTTTTTTTTTTTAATCCTTGTTGATTTGCAGTATGACTTAATCTAGCATGGTTTTTACAATTTCTGATTTCCTTACTAGGAATATGAAGCAAGGCCCTTTCGCAGAGAAAAAGTAGGCGGAGGGACAGCTACATGTGCTGAAGAGGCTGTGGCTTTGCAGAAGAAGAACTCTGAACTTAATCGTTTTTATCAGAATTTGTCGCAGCCACATAAAGATTCAACATCTCCAATTCTAATAAAGAGTCGAAGAAGAGAGATGCTGGAAAAGTTGTGGTCAGTCACTTTATCTCACTTTTAGTTTTGTTCATCCTTAAAGGGTGATAAAATGCAGCCGTCCTTCGTTTATACTTTAAATGGCACCGAAACTAAAGTATAGAGCTTCTATAACTTGTCCTGTTTATCATATTTGGATGATAGGTTTCAAAATCTCCATCTGAATTAGAGGTTGTTCTTGGAGTTATAAGAAATCATTGCAAGGCCCAATTAGGGAGGGATGGTATATCAGATTCCACAAAGCACCTCCACATTCTAGAGGTATGTCCTGTATTGTACTATTCTTTCAGTAGCAACTATTTAACTCTGAGACTAACAACTCCTGTTGTTGATGGATCACAGAACGGAGGCTACTCGTGCTAAACTTCTGTTTTCTTTGGGATGCTAATTGTCCGCTAATAGTATTCCCGTTAGGCTTTCGCAAGGTATGATCCTTTTTCTTTCTTACCAAGCTTAAATTGTACAAGCTTATGATGAAATTAACATGGCAACCTCAAGACTGCGCATGGCAGAAGATGAGGATGATAAAGCTCTTGATGCTTTAAGTGAAGAAGAATTACCTTCAGCTAGCGTCCTATATACTAGTGACAAGTTCACGTCCTTGAATTCGTTGTCTGTTACAAAGGGGAAACTTCGTTATTTAAAGGTAGAAGCAAAAGTCCATTTTTAACCATTCATATTTAGATTTTCTTTTGGGTGCAGAATTGTGTGCCCTTTGGTGGTATGCTTTGCGCACTGACCTTTCTACTTGTTAAACTATAAAATATAGAATGTCTTTGTTGTTGCTGCTGTCGGTAGTCGATACTAACTCTTTTTTATTGTTCCCAGGGTCTGGTACAAGCTAAACAAAAGGTGCCGTTGGAAAGTCCAAACCCTTCGTCGGTAGCTGAAGGGGCAGTCACCATTCCAACATCCACAGAACAGAAAAATGGATGCATGCCTACAGGCGATAAGAAACATGCCCTGTTTGTCAAGATCCATTAATCATTCGGAAGACGGTTTTTCCGTGTGGGCATCTTACATGCTGTAAATGTAAGTATTCACCATACCATCTCCATGATATAACCATCGCCTTAATAAATAGGAGTTTATACAAGTCTGTATGTCCGAAAATCTTTACGCCAGTCTTCTGCTAAAATCTCCGAGAGCCTTCCTTGGTTGAACAAAAATGTGATTCAGTAGGCTAACTGTAGCTATTGGGAAACCTTACGTGAGTCATTAGTGGCAATCTTCTATCTGTGTCTCCAGCCTGCTAATTGCCTTCTGTCCTCCTTTTATTATTATTATTATTTTCTTGGTGCGTCTCTTCCCTGATAATTCCTTTATTCTCTTAATTAACTATCGTTTAATTCGAGTTCACAACTGTTCCTGTTTGCAATTACTGAACGGCATAACAACTTAACAAGGTTCATGATAAGTGGGTAAAAGGCCCAACATGTCGACAACATAGTGATGTTGGAAACATTGCTCATGCTGATGATGGACAGAGTGAAACTTGTGCTTCTTCTGTGCTTCATACAACCGAAAGTCGTGAAATGTCTGAAGCATCTGTCATGGTCCAAGGTTCATATGGAACAAAGGTATGTGTTGTATCTATCCTCGATTTTGTAAGTGCGGTTCCCTGACCAAACAAATAAGAACTCTAGCATACCTCTTCGTCATTTCCCGCTGACCCTTGCCACTTTATTAGTATAGTTTGTGTCAGCAAGTTTAGATTAATGTTCATTTGGGGCGGGGTACTCGTGCAGATTGAAGCAGTGACAAGAAGAATCCTTCCCTGCTAATGACATTACACATATTGGGATGAAAGGAGGAAGGTAAGTAGCCATTACCAAATTTACAGCAGATAAAATTTACTGAACTTGGAATTGCTTCTCCCTAATACGCTTGCTGTGTAAGTACAGGAAATCGCAAGTTGCCATTAGCGAATTCAAAGGAGAAAAGATAATCGCAAAAGGAAATCACAAGCTAAGTGGACAGAAACCCGAGCAAAAATCTTTCCAAGTGTTACTGCTCTTAATTCAACATGGAGCCAACGGCCTCAATCTTCTAGAAGCGAAGCATGTTATCCTTGTTGAGCCGCTTCTCAATCCAGCAGAAGCACAAGCAATCAGCCGGGTCCATCGAATCAGACAGAAAAGCAAGACCATAGCTCATCGTTTCATAGTATGTTCATCTCCCTTTCCGATACTTTTGTGTTTTATAGAACAACTTGTTTTAGGATTCACTACCATGTTACTAGAAAGTGCTTGTGAGAACACAATTATCTGTGCATTTTCGATATTTAATCACGCTAAGTCATTTTGTGGAGTTAGGTTAAAGACACGGTTGAAGAGAGTATATATAAACTCAACAAAAGCCGGAACAGCACTGCATTCATCGGGAACAAGAAGAACCAAGACCAGCCTTTCTTCACATAAAAAGACATTGAGTCCTTATTCGCAACGGTGCCACCCCTGGCACCAGAAACTAACGAAAGGCCAACTGAAATTCCCGACGAGAACCCAATGGAAAGCCTACGGCATTTGCCACTTTATGTGGCTGCTGCCATAGCAGCTGAGAAGAGACGTAAGGAGCAGCATGCATCTTCTTCATTACCATAACATAGCAGCTGAAAGTACAGTAGCAATTTCGTAGAAACACATTGCAACACAGGAAAAATGAAAAAAAAAAAAAGAGATTTTGTTAGGCTTTTGCAATCATGTTTTTTGTTTAATTATAATTTTATTTTCACACTATCATTTTTCTTGTATATATTGAATCCTTCTTTATTTATTGCTAATTTTTTGGATGTCCAATGCTAATTACACAGATACCAGTCACTAAATTCTAAAATCCCTCTCTGTAGTATTCTTTTGGTCTAAAAATTGATTTGCGGCCGGTACTAGTTGCACTAAAATTTATTGATATTTTTTGAGTCTTAGCTCGATTCATATACGATAAGCTTAGAACTAAATTATTGTTGGTCCATTTCCACGTAGTCGAAACTTTCACATCCAAAAAATTAAATTGATTTGTCAATACTGAAAGCGTAGTATGGGGTAGGCTTATCCGCATGTCATATTCTTTGTGGAAACTGTGGCAAGGAAAATGAAAGATTTCAGAAAATACAAAAACGATGACGTCAAGCGTGCTTGACCCGTCCATATGTATGGGGAAATTTTTCAGTATACGGGATCGTGGTTTGGTACACTATGTATCATTATAGTATAATACATGATGCATTGGTCATGTTTCCAGCACACTGAATAATCTCTAATTTCCAACTAAACATATTAAGCATATATTGTATCAGACTATGTTTCTGACACATAGAATAGTTATGGTATGTAGTAATTTGGTTCCTGCCTATTCACAGAATCAATCACAAGCTGAGCAAGATTTCCAATCAAATCAAACAAACAAAAGGTAAACAAAGCAGGATTCTCTTCAAATGTGAAGTTTCCAAGCAGGAGGAAAGAGCGTGACATTTTATCTGATTAGGGTTCTTCGTTGACGAGTCCCTTTCCTAAGGTAGGAGAGACTTAAAACCATTGGTTTCTTACTTCTGAACTTTGTGCTGTTAATACATATAAAATCGGAAACTTGTTTAATATATTTTTGAATTCCGTAAACAAATACTTAAAATAAAGGATCGTATCAATTAGGGGGTTAGTTGATTAGATTTCGTTTATTTACGCTTCTCCTATTCTAAATTCTTTGATTCTTCCTCGGATTTTATTGAGTAAAAATGTCCTAAGGGGAGGATAGATATTCCAACTTAAGGGAAGAACAGAGAGTTTCAAAATGTTTAATTGCTAACAGACTTCATTATATGGCTTTAAATCTTAATTTTTTTATATTGCAAAAATTATCTTCCTACTACTTTATCATCGTGGAAACTGTTAATTCAATTATGCCAGAGGTATCCCTTCACTTGAACAATTGGTAAGATGTTTCTTCTATTTTTGTTATCAGATAAGATTAACATTTAACTGTCGTTCCTTTGAATTATTATTGTTATTTTTTTTTTTTTGGTCAAGTCGTTGCCTTGAATCAGGCACAAAGAATAGATCAGCAAGGGTTCGGAGGGCTGACGTGGGCCATGACACTTTGAAATGTGTGCCTTTTTGTGTCCATTACCAGAGATTTTTCAGTATGATCAGTAAACGGGATAGTACATCACATATCACTATATAAATGATGATATATGTATAGTAAAAAATTAATAACTTAAAAATTAAATTTCTCATCACTTCTATTAAAACACATGGTATACTATTTTGTTTCCGTCACAACTAAAAATTTCTCGTCCATAATAAATAAAACCACCCCACACGCTCTGCATGCATCACCTCGATGCTCGAAACCTCTAACAAACACGTGCCTCCCCACCATGTCACGCGTCCAAAATGGACACGCGGAGCAACAAGAACACCGCCACCCTGTCACACACCCACCCCCCCCCCTCCCCCCCCCAAAACAAAAAAACCACCCCCCCCCCCCCCCCCCCCCCCCCCCCACAAACCCTTTATCTATACTATTTATTATATAAATCTACCCCAACACAACCAACCACATTGGCTAAAAAACTAGGGTTCAAAAATGGAGCTCTCTCTGTGCCACACAAAAACGCACAACTTTTGCCCTTCCATCCTCCCCACACGCACAGCCAAAACCCCTGCAACTCCCAACAATTTAGGGTTCAGACCTAGGAACTGGCAGAACCATGGGGCGATCTTAAGGCAGGAAAGCTTGGACCGCAAGAAACCGGCGGTGGCGGTGAGGTGCGGAGACGAGGGATGCTCAGCCGAGGTGGAAAGCGAGTTGGAGGCGGAGTTGCGGGCGGAAGAAGGAGCGGAGTGGATGAGGGAAGGGAGGTGGAGCGAGAAGTGCGGAGATAGAGGAATGGTGGAGCTTCTGGAGTGTTTGGAGCGTGAGGCGATCATGGGGGAAGACGAAGGCAAAGAACCGGACGACTACAACAGAAGGGCTCAAATATTTTACAAGAGCTCTAGGGTTTTTCAGGCTCTCAAGAAACGTTCCCAATCGTGATTTTTTTTTTCTTATTTATTTATGAATGCTGATGGTTGTAATAATCGAATCGTTCGTCCAGTGTTTATTCGAATATATAACGATTGTTTTGATAATTTTGGTGTGCAATGAATCCAAAACGCCATTAGATCCTTATAGTATGTTTTAATTTCAAGAAGTATTAAGTTATATGTAAAATCAGTCAGTCATTACTGCGGTCTATTGGTATTCCTTTTACTTGAAAATCTCGTGGATGGCGAATTCAATATTGAATTAATGAATTAGGTTGTTCATTGTGTGGCTTAGTCGAAGTTTCTTCCATTTAGTCTGAAAATACTGATCTACTAAAAAAAAGTTGTAAGTAAAAGCAAGGGAGGGTTAGAAGGCTAAAAGCACTTGCAAAATAAACGATGTTTACTGCATTATAAATTATTCGGCAAGAACCCACCGAATCATCACTTTCAAATACTTTCACATTCGGTATTATCCACCGAATTTATCATTAATGCTCGGCAGAATTATGGATGTCTTGAGATAAAAATTGAGTGTGACTAGAAAGCGCCCAACCGTTTTCTAGTGCTTTCCTGATTATAAAAGCACTTATGGTTCAAATTGTCCCAATTTATGCGCTTCCAAATTCTGCTGGAGAAACACACTTGCTAGTTGCAGTATTGTTAAAAGCACTTGCTTCCACAGCCAAAAGCAAACCAACAACAAAAGCTTATGATTGGAAGAAAAATTATTTATGCACTCCCTCTTGTCTTCAATTTTTCTAATATTTGAATTGAATAAACCAGCGAGAATCAAGAGACGGAAACAAAAGAAAATTACTGAAAGAGAAAACGAGAGCTTGAAGATCACTACTTTTTCAACAGCAAAATTGTAACCAACCTCCTTTGGTAACTCGCAACAAAAATAACACACCCCACAACCTGAAACGACACCACAATCCCTAAACAAATGAAAGAAAAGAAGAGAGTCAATTCAATAAAAGCATCCCCAAATAAATTAAGCCTACCGACCCTAGAAGATGAAAACATGATTGAAGAAAGAGTTCTACATGCTACAATACTCGAATGGGAATCGTCCGACTAGTTCCCGTTCGTCCAACTGCCCTAATCGCACAACCACGCTACAAATTGCACGTCTTATGACTCTTAACTTACGACGCCAAAATGGCAATAAAATGGCCATGGCTCCTACAAGAATCCCTAACAGAACTTCCAACGGTTATTGCAGTTTACACATGTTACATACGTTGTCATAGGTTCATCCGCACTCCGGGTCTGCATTTGGTAGTAGGTGGTCTTGCGCTGCCCACACCGACCACATTTGAATTGATCGGTTGTGGCTTTTGGTGCACCTCCACGCTCGCACTCAAACAATGCTTTTTCTTCAAGCTTCTTGGTCTCCTCTTGCCTCTGATCACTTGCCATTTCCGCTGTTGACAGGTTCACGAGCCTCTCCGCCTTGATATGTCCAAGCAAAACTTTTCTCCGGAAATCGAGGTTCTTTTGGTCCTTCAGGTTGAAAATCAAAGATCGATACTTAGCCTTCTGAGAGCCAGTGGAACCACCCCAATTCTCAAAGAGCACAGATTCCACAGTGACAGCAACTCGAATAGGATCAGCTGCATTCACCTCATCGGCAAACCTTTCATCACCCTCCGCAGCAACCTTTGACAAGGCCTCCTGCAGCAGCACCCTTACTTTGTCCCGAGCTGTATCATTACACTTAATCATAGAGGTTAACTTTGGAGGACCAGAGGAGTTGAGTGCTGGTTTCTTCACTTCTTTGGCTACCTTTTCAACCTTAACAGTCTCTGCTGAAGCAGATTTCTCAGTCTTGACAGGATTAAGATTTGGAACCTTCCCTTCTGTTTTGACAGTTCCGGAACCATAAGCATTCTCAGATCTTGGTTTGACATCACGATCAACCTTCTTAACCTCAACAGGTTCAGCCTTGGAAACCTTCTCAACCTTCACAGCAGATGTCTTCTGAACCTTCTCAGGCCTGGGGCTGCCGGCACGTGGAGAATCACGTTTTAGAGAGTCTATTCTCTCCAAGTTCACATTTTTCGCAGTTTTTTCTACCTCAGTCATAACAATCTCTTTCCATTTCTCCAACAGGCCAGAAGCAACAGACTGGATTTTCTTTCTAGGATGTTTTGTGAGATGTCGAAGACGCTTCCCAACCTGGAAAATTACATATCAAAGGTCAGAACAAACCTCAAACCCAATTTCACGTCTTTTCACCCATCCCCCATAGAAAAAAGATTTCGACAACGCAGAACAATCTACAACTAAACAAACAACCCCTCTTGGCCATGTGCATGCATATACACAGTTACACACATACTTTCAGGTCCTAAACAGATAAGTGCCTGGACAGGACATCATCTAGATACTGCACTTCAATTTAATCTTAAAACCTGCTAATATCTACGTCTCTAAGAGCTAAAACCGCATACCAAAATTTACGGAAAAAGTTGAATCCACAGACCAATGTGACATTTCAAATTAGGACACAGAAATTGCAGCTTTATTTCTTATGGAAGATAAATTCTGGTCTATGAATAATACGTTCAAATTGTTTTAGTCTACAAATTTCTTCTAAAAACAAGAGAAAATAAAAGGATAATTAAACTTCTAGATAAAAAAATTTGATTCATGTAATCTAGATATGAGTAATTGAATTAACAGCGGAGAATAAAATCAAAACAATATTTTGACAAAAAAAAAATAATTCAAATTACATTGGGAACAAAAAGAAAAAGGAACGTACTTGGGTTGAGACGAGGATTTGATGAGTGACGGGAAAATTCCTGAGCTGCTCGAAGGCCTCAAGGCATTGGCTTTCCTCGGCTCCTCCGTCGCAAGATGTGGCGTCGTCCGCCGTTTTCTTCACGGCGTCGAACAACTCCAGAAGCTCCTTCTCCATCTCCCCCAATTCCAATTTTTCTTCTAAATTAACTAACAAATCCACCCTTTGATCAGTGAATCGAAGGGAAAGAAACCCAGACAACCTAGAAACCAAATCGACGGGGGGAGTAAGAAACCTAGAGAGAGAGGGGAGAGAAAGAGAGAGAGAGAGAGAGAGATTGGGACTGTCGAAAGTCCTCCCCTCTATTTTGCTTCCGGCAAAATGTCCTGGTCTGTTTCGGAGAGGCGAACAAACGTTTAGACTATATCATACTGTGATCTGGAGATCGGACGGCCGATGTTGTGCCGCGTGTGTTTTAGGGTTCGGTTTTTCTGTTTGCGTCCTATTTCTTACGTTTGTTTTGGAGTTTGGCCTTCTCGAGTCTACCTACCCACTACCGAAACCTAAAATTAGAATAGGATGGAATACATAGATGCACTTTTTCCTTTTATTTTATTTAAAATTAAATAAAAAAATTAGCCTATCCCAGCTGGGTCGGGTACCCATTTTGGAATTGAAGGCAAATGGGGCATCTTATAAGGGATGATGGGCTTTGGTCTCCAATCCATGACCCAAATACAAAAATATTGCATGAGAGTCGCTTCAACATTCCCCTTGTACTTCTCTCTTTATTTCTGTCCCTGATTTTTCTTTGTTCAATCCAAAGATTAGAGAAAGGAGGGGAAATGCAGAAAAAAAAAAAGTGCGAAAATCACTTCTTAAAGTTTACAGTCCTGCTTGCTCTCCTAAAGTTCTCATTTTGAAAACCTGAGAACCAAATGCATAGTAACCACAAGATTATAATAGTTTAAATTCAAAAAGCTTCAAATATTTGACAACTTAATAAAGCAAAACAAATAAAAAATTTATCTACCATTAGAAAACTCATTTTTTTTGTTTTACTTTATTAAGTGTTAAATATTTTAAACCACTGGATCCAAACTAATATAATTTTTCACTAATATGCATTTGGTCCTTACAGGTCCTCAAAATGAGGACCTTAGGAGAGCACGACTCATAAGCTTTAATCTGCAAAGGACATTTACGAACTCCCAAATTTCGACAGAAAGCTATTAAGGAGTCATTTCTCTTCAGCTTCAAATCACTATCTAACACATAAATGTGCTATTTTCTTTAAAAATGCAAATCATTGTCTAACATGTATGCAAAAGTAACTCCGTTAAAATCAGAAAAGAATAAATAAGTTTTGCAAACTTGTCAGACAGTAATTTATCTGCAAGTGGAATGGACAAGAAACGGCTTGTTTCATTTACATAATGTGTGGAATTTTACATGGTTATTTGTTTCTAGAAGGTCAGAGATCACATTCACATGCCAAACAAAACACAGTTAAGAAGAAAGGAAACTGCAAGAATGCACAAACAAAGACCCTGGAATTGGTAAGATAATGCAAAGAAAGGCCTTTGCGTGTAATTAACGATGATCAAGGGTACGAAAGTACATGATTATTTGCATAAACTCCTCCACTTGGTAGTTTCATCAAAACAAAGCTCAATCCACATAACATAAACCGAAAAGTTTTACCAGAATGTTCAATTCCCTTCCTCACTTAGCTTCAGGCTCTGGCTTCTCAATAAAGGTCTTCCTAATCCAATCAAACGGCTGCAAAACAAAATTACAAAATATTAGACGTAATTGTTAGATTAATAACTTATAAAGGGAAAATAACAATGATGCAAACATAGGCCCTGGGAAAGTGCAAAACAAAACCAGAGCTTACAAAAACTCATCACCTTCCGGCTAAGTTGGAGAAGTTCATGGAACTTCCGACAGGTCGAAATTTGGGAAAATTAATAATGAAAACATGATAAATTGCAACTTGTGCACCAAATTGTAGATGGATTTCATCCAAACATAACTCTCAAATACATCCTCCGGCAGGAGTCCAACGAATGGTGCTCCGTGGCTAACGATTTTAGTTCTTTACTTTTACAGGATTATGATCATCTGGTAATGATTGTAATTCTCTCACACATAGCATATTAAAACAAATCTCCAATTGTGCTACTCGGTACCTTCTCAGCGGAAAACAGTATAGCACGATTTTGAAATGATAAACCGATTTAAGTTTCAGCAACAAGCAGATTACTCAATCAGAAAACACATTCATCAGGATTTGAAGCCATGGGAATCAGCTGTAATTAATAATTATCAATAATTAAAAGTAATGAACCAGAAATTCTAGCAAAAATAATTCAAATTCGCAGAAATACAGTAAAATCTGCAGTCCAATCCTCCGTTTCCATGCAAATGGATTCATCATCCGCATTCTCAACGCTACAATTGTTTAAAAAATCATGGACTTTTGATAATCTTTGATCACATTAGCACACGAGAAATGATTTATTTCCACAAGAAGATTAAGGGCGCGATCGAACAGAGCGCGTGGAAAACCAAGGAAGGATCCTCGCTGTATTATCTTTGTGAAGATTCTAGAATCCTTAAATCACATACGTTTATATCGGTGAAAAATCATTGTAATTTGTTTTATTTAAAATTGAATTTAAACAGTATTAAACAAAACTGGCCAATGATGAACGATGAACAGATATGATTGAAGAATCCAAAATCCTCATAAAAATGATCCGGCGATGATCCTCTCTCAAAAACGAAGCGACAGGGATGAAAGTTTACAGACCTGGACGAGCCAAAGGGCACCGGTAAAGGCGGCGACGCCCCACGCGGCGGCGGCTTGGACATCGGTAGTATGGGGACGAAGTCTTGGCTTCACATACTTGAACATGCTCAATTCACCTGCCATTGCCTCCGATTTTCTGTATTCTCAGCCCTAACCCTAAAATATCACCCGAATTAAATGAAGGAAATCTTTGTTTCTCAGTCCGCACAACGTGTCGAATCAGTGGCAAAATGTACGCTAATATAATAAAGATGGAATCTTCTACTGACTGTAACTCGTTGCTTAACAATCTTCCGCCGTTGATTACCGCGGGACCCTAAAGTCATCCAATTAATAGACGATCAGTGTTTTTTTCAGATTAATGAAAAACACTTTTAAAATTAGAAAAATTAATAAAAACAATTTAAAAGGACAGAAGTATGGAATAACAAGCCTAAACTTAAATGCCCAACGCTTAATGGGCCAAAACTGCTTGGAGTCCATTAATGTACAAGTCTCTAGTAATAGAGAGATTTTTTTTGTGTGATCATATGATAATACACCACGAATCATTATATAAATAATATGATATATTTGTATTAAAAAGTTAATAATTTCAATAAAAAATTTCACCACTTATATAAAAATACGTGATAAGTAATGTTCCAATCACAATATATAACTTTTCACTTGATCCTATGATTCAAATAAAAAAAAAACTTAAAAACTTTGAGTTTTAACGATAAAGATAAAATAAATGATAAAGTGAATAATACCAGGATTGACTTTTTAATGTAAGAATGTGATTTTTCATTAAAATGACAGTACCATGAGCTTTTCGTTAAAGTTCCCTTCAAACATTCTCTCTTTCCTTCTCTAAACCTATTCAAACTGAATTTGAGAGATGAGTAGAGCTCTGCTTGGTACTATCCGGTTTGCGTCCCTTGTCCGGACCACCGATGATCCCCCATGTCTCAAATTGCCTTTGTCGAGCTCTTGCCCTATCCTTCTCTTCATCAGATTTTGACGAGAAACAGTACGGACAAGTAACTCCGTATTCCCACTGAGGAGACTCCATATCTGCATCAGTGACCGGTTGCTTACACCCGTAGCATAATTTGTGAGTTCCCTGTGCTAACCCATGCTCAACCGAGACTCTCTTGTCAAAGACAAAGCACTCTCCCTCCCACAGGCTCTCCGTCCGTGGAACTTCCTCAAGATACTTCAGAATTCCGCCTTCTAGATGATAAACCTGAGAAACACATGCTCCAAAACAAACTATCAGCCAAGTTCATTTTATCCTTCACAAACTAATCCTTTCCTACAGATAATATGTGGCATAAAATAGAGCTTGAAAGACATTCACCTCTTCGAAGCCTTTGCTGAGTAGAAAACTTGAAGCTTTCTCACATCTAATTCCCCCAGTACAGTACATGGCAACTTTCGGAGGTGTTTTTGGTTTTGATATCTCGAGCTGACTGTTGATGCTTTCATTTGGACTGTTGAGTTTCACCTCCGAATGACCATTCTCTGATTCTGAGGGTTGAAACAGATCGTCTACCCAAGATGGGAACTCTCGGAATGCTTTAGTGCACGGATCAACTGCTCCCTTGAACTTCCCTATTCTAGTTTCATAATTATTGCGCACATCAATAACCACCTGGATATATACATGTGTCGGGACTAAGATAGTGTGTAGGTGAACTTGGCATTGATGGTAATATTTTCACAAAGATTAAATGCCAGCATCCATCAAAACTTCATAAAAATACTGTAAATTCTTTATGGTCCATATCAAGCTGCTAACAAACATGATTTTGTCAGAATTAAGAGCGAGTCATGAAGGTCAAGTTTTTTAATGTACTTGGTAACGTTGGACAATATACTGCTTAGTTTGGTATAGACTGCTCAAAAATAAAAACTGAACTCAAAAGCAAAAGCACAGAATACATTCTGCGAATTGATTACAGCTCAGTGACATACTATAAAGACACCAATACAAGGAAGAAAATACTCACTGTATCTGGATCACTAATCAATGCATTCCAATCCTGTGGACTCACATACTTTCCGACCTTTTCAATTGGCGATACATCAGGCATTCCAAGACTAACAATCTGATAAACATGTGCAAGGAGAAAATAAGAACCACCTCATAAATGAGAAAAAAAAAAATGTACCCACAAGTTCACAATCAAGACTTATTTTAACCCGTACCTCCTTCAACTTGACCCTCACATGATCCCATCTGAAGGGCGCGTCTTCCCCTGCTGCCAGAGGAGAGCTGCTAGTGTGCCCATGATGAATAGCTTCCTCCTCAGGACTCACAGGTGACTCCAATCTTCTTAGTCCCTCAAGGCAGTTATCGTTTTGGATGAACTCAAGAACTTTCTCCACCGATTCTCTTGTCCCACAAATGCTCCCATTTATCCCTTCCCGGGCAAGTATGATACCGCCTGAAACACACTGGTCACGATCAGCTTAGTGAGCTACAAAATAGACAGTACATAAGCTCCGGAAGAGTAAAACAGAATCGAATAAAACCACAAGAAGATGCAATGTCACGGATTAATTATAATCCTGTAAAAATGAAGTCTTTTGAGAATTGCTAAGCACAAATTAAGAATTTAAACAATACAACAACAACAACAAAGCCTTTTCCCACTAAGTGAGGTCGGCTATATAAATCCTACAACGCCATTGCACTCCATTTTGTGCCATGTACTCTGTTAGATCCAAGTACTCTAAGTCTTTTCTTGGAATAAATTGACAAAAAAATGCCAGACTTTATCAAATTATTATATCTAATTAGCCATTAGCGAACCAAAATTGATTTCGACATCTTCTAATCTCACCCAAATTAAGTTAATTAACCCAACAAAGCTTTAATCCCCAGTAGTCCAACAATGCCTGAAGATTTGAAATTTAAAATTTCATGGAAATTAACCATTAACAAACTAAAACTTAAGAAAATATAGAAATGCAGGTGAAATGCGGGTACCAGTTCTTCGCAGAGCTGCTTCAATGGTTGCCGCAGAGAAGCATGGTCGGCAAAATCAGCGAATTTGTAGAAGGAGACAACGACGAGAATCTACGAATCCGAGTTATCCGACTCGGGCGAGCTCGGAATCGAGACCGGACTGGTGGGCCCGGAGAAGCACCTGGAAAGCGCCATGCTTTGAGGGACGCCGCGAGAATCGGAGACCGGAATCCTACTGGGGTTGAAAAACGACTGAGGATGTCGATTGGAGGGCGGCGAAACTGAAGAGGCGGGAGGCAATCTAGGGTTAGGGTTTACGGAGTGCAGTGGAGGTAACCATAGCATCCTCAGCGACAGTGATGGGGGTGACCTCCAGCTTAGCATGGAGTCGACCGCGGGAGGCAAGGTTCGCATACGGCGCTGCGTTCGTTAGGTTTCTGTATTGCTCTCGACGTGTGAATTTACAATTAACGGCGGGACCACGTGGCGGCTGTATGTTGGGTTAGATGCGTGGCCTTATCCAATCAAGGCGCCGTATATTGTCTGTATTGTAAAAAGTGACGAATTGGATATTTGAATGGCTAATCTTAAAATAATATTTTATAATATTTTATAAATTATAATATAAAAGTATTACTTAGATCAACTTCAACGGTGAGTTAAAAGCTAAATTACCCCTCAAAATTTCCCTCCAAACCCACTCCAACCCAAGGGAAAATTTTGAGCTAAATGCTAAATGCTAAACCAATGCCAAATTCCCCCGGAAATTTAGCCTAGAAATTGGGGTGGACTCTACCCAATATTTATCGGAATTTAAATTTTTTTAGATTAAAATGTTCATAAAATTAACTTATGATAGCCTACATATTTATTTTTTAAAAAAAATTAATGTAACAAAAAAAAAAGGCCTAAGTTCATTCTTTAATAATTCCGGGTTAAAATTTTAGGGTAGAATGGTTGGAGTAGAAAAGTTATTTTTGGGCTAAAAACTAAATTTTTCGGGCTAAAAAAATTTGACTTTTAGCCCAACCATTGGAGATGGTCTTAAGTAATGAGATTATTATTTAAATTATTACTTATGCGTTGTCACTATCTTACTTTTATTTTTTCTTTTAAATAAACAATATTACCAATTCAGAAGGATTTGGATTCTATCCGGATTTCAATTGGGAGGATTTTGGATTAGTCGTTCATCATGCATTGTGATGTCAGAAATCATTTGATTTTTTTATTTAAAATTAAACATAAATAGTACCTTAGGAAAACTGACTGCACAATGTACTAAGATCCCAACAAAATTGATCAGGAGAAGACCCTCTTCCCTAAGGGGAGGGTTAAGTCTCACAATGGACTAACAATAATGTGGTTCAAATTCATCTTTAACGAAAATCAAATCTCTCGCATACAAATGAAGAAGAATATCATTAAACTGTAATATTGAGTTACTTAATTAGTTTACTTAGCATTATTTAAGTGTGATATTACTTAGGGTTTGTTTAGAGAAAACATTTCTGAGTTTTAAAAACACTAAATATTTCTTGTAATAGTAAACAATTTGAATGCTTTTTCATAATTTGCTTATATTTTTACTATAAATTAATTTCAAAATAAAATTCATAAAATGCGTCTTTAACGAACTGGACTTGGCTATTGTAAATTTAGCAGTTGGTCCTGCTTAAACCCAATCACGGATGAACACGTGTTCAAATTTTAATTAAAATAATTAAAATTTGAACACGTGTTCATCTGTGATTGGATGTAAGTAGAACCGGCTGCTGTTTCCGTCCTTAACCACTTCAAAAACTATTCCAAGGAATCTTTAGTTTTGAATAAAATAGTTGTTTTTTTAAGAGTGTCGTACGATGATCAATGATAAGCCAATTAGGCCTCTCCACCTGTGGACGAAAGGCTGGCGGAGTTACATTATAATATTATGTAATATATAAAATATATAGTTTTCAAAGGGGAAAGGGTTTGAAAAGTGATGGTCCTAATACGGCCCACGTCGCAGTATTTGTACAGGATGTCTGTCGATTTTCTTTTCCACTACGCAAGGAGTTGTCGATTTGTTTTAACTGTAATTTTAGTTAATTATCTCTCCAAATTTTTGTAATTGATCAATTTCTCTGTTAAATTTTAGTTTTAATTGATTACCTTCCGAACTTTTATAATTAACTAATTTTCTTAATTTTAAAATTGTAAAAAGATAATTTTATTCTTAATGTGGACAACATATTGTTTTTTTTTTTTATTCTCTTCCACTAGTTTACTCCGTACACTTTTTGTTTGAATTTTAGTGTTTAGGGGAGAAATTAAAGTTTATGGAGGAATTGGCAAATTATAAATGTTCATAAGGATATTGGATAAAATTAAAGTTCAACCAGAGGGAGGGTATGATTGGCAGCTCTTTACAGATTAAGAAAATCGGCGAATAACTCTCTTTGTATTTGGGAAATTTTGGCCCAGCAGTAAGTATACGTTTATCACATTTGTTTCATCTCTCTAATAAAGTAAAGTAAGACTCGCCAACACATGCAGGTCTCATTTCTATTAGAGATGCGATTTAAATGTGATATAAAAAATATAGTCAAAGTAACATTTTTGTTTGGCCACCAAGTTAACAGCCTAGGGTTTCATTGCAACTATGTATATTTTGTAACATTTTAATCTCCCACCTCATTTTTGATATTAACTTCAGAAATGTCCAAACGCATTGCCCAATCAAAAATATCCCCGGTTAAGGTTAAAGATATTAGAAAGCTCTGTTTGTGGTGAGTTTCATGCTGTGAGAATGAATTAAATTTCATAGAAAGTTGTTGTGACAGTGGGGCCACATCAATTCCAATCTTTATGATTAGTCATAGGTTATGAAGGTTGATTAATCTTTGAAAGCAACTCTCCTTGGACTCGTTGGCCATCTAGAGTTTACGCCTTGATTAATTGAGAAACGTAAAGAGATTGTTTTTTAAAATTGAGATTTTTCTATAGATTTTCTGTCACATATTAACGTTAAATTGTAAAGCGACGTAAAATTAATGAACAATCTCACATTTGAATAAGTTCGTTTAGCATTTTTCAACTCTAGATGGTCAGCGAGTTTATGGAAAATTGCTTTTCAGGACGAGTGTCGGTAGCAATTCTCTTAGTGAAAACATAAACTACAAAGATTTTTTATCATAGTGTATCCAGCAAGAATCTAGGAAATCGATATGCATTGAATAATTACACAAACTTTATTGCACCAAACAACACTCTTACTTTGCACAGCCTGCCAGTTGGATAGGAAAATAACATGAAAAATTACCAATGATGTAAGCGTTTACATCACCACCATGACATCACATCAGCTGAGTAAGCAAAGCATTTGATTTGTTTGGAAATTTCTCACTTTAATCATGGAATTATGTGAAGAGGGATTTCACCTCCTTCCTTGCAACTTCCTATGAATTGCTTCCCACCTTCCCATTCACATATCATAAAACCGCATCCCCTTCTCTCACCTCATCCATGCAAACCCCAATTCAAAATTTTCCTTTTTCCACACACAACAGAGCACACAAAGAGGAGCAGCCCACAAGGCATTTTTCTCATCTTTCATGAATCACTTCGGACTCTCCAATAGTTTGTTTGAACTTGTTTCTGTAAGAAGCACTTCTGTTAAGAAACGCTTTATCTAGAAGCTAATGAAAGCTTTTTCTTTACTAAAAACCGTCAAATACGGTAAGAAATGCTTTTAATCATTTCAAAAGTAATTTCAAAAGCAATCCCAATAGTGGTTCCATCCAAACAAAACCCATTTCTTATTTTTACTCAAAAACAGTGAGAGAGAGAACAGAGGAGTTAAAGCTAGAAACAGAGCAAAAGCAGAGCATCCTGGAACGAATGGGAACCAACCACAAGAGACTGATCGAGGAGCTACTTGAAGGCCGGAAGACAGCGGTGGAGCTTCAGAGTCTGCTCCACAAGCCGTTCGGAGATAGTGGATCGGCGGAGGAGCTTTTGATGAAGATCATGAAAACATTCACAGAGAGTCTCTCTGTTCTGACTGCTTCTGACGGCCATGAGGATCACCAGTCTGCTGCTTCCGGTGAGGTTTATCAGGTCAAGCCTGAACCTTCCCATGTGGAGCACTCGCATTGCGGTGACCGGAGCTCTGAAGGTTCCGGTGAGAGTCCAAAGACTCAGGCTTTCAAGGACCGGAGAGGTTGCTACAAGAGGAGGTAATGAATTGAAACATCTTAATCATAGATTGATATGTGAATAATTGTTAGCCATTTTCTTTTATTTGTTTAATTTCCTAGCTAGTATCATACACAAATCAGGGGTGTACTGTCAATTTCATATATTTGTTTAACATATATGCAGACATGAGTTAAGTTGGTTGGCTGAAATAGTGTATTTATTCGGTGAAAGCAAGTTTAAATATGCTTCTATAGCTCATGATGGTTTAAAATATCACCTTATATCGTATCTCAATGTTCTTAATTGAGTTAATTAGGATTTTTTATACTCAATTAGAAAAGAATTTAACGTTTTCGAAAAATAATGAGTGTAAGTTATTTAGTACTTATTTTTTTAAATTAAATAAAAAATTAAATCCAAGACTAATAAGTTTATTTCATCTCCTTGTTTGCAGAAAGACATCTCAATCATGGAAAGTAATCTCTACCAAAATTGAAGATGGTCAGGCTTGGAGAAAATATGGCCAAAAGATAATCCTCAAAGCTTCATATCCAAGGTTTGTGTTTATTTTTAAGAATTTATGAACAATTTTTTGGGGAAAATGATTTATTCAAAAAAAATGTTCTCATTTATTTTTTTTCAATTTTAATAGTAGAATCAAATATGGATGTGCACAGAGAAAAACAGTGTGTCAATATAGGGGTATATTTAGTGTGTAAAATTCTATTGCATTGCATAACTCGTTAAATTCCATGTATGTTAAAGGAAAAAATAAAAGTAAAAAATGAAAGGTAAAATATGGATAATTTTTAAGAAATACTTATTATTTTCTCGTCACACAGATTATTAAACTCTTATCTTTATTATTTATTAAATAGTTAGATGTTCACCCGGGGGAGGGTGGGGGTGTGGTTTTGAGAATTAGTAGAAATCAACACCGCACCATGATGCATATGCATAATTATTTTTCATTATTATAGTAAAGCGCTAGCTGTTTATTTCTTTATTTCTTATTTTCACCTAGCTTGGAAGCTTGCATCCAATATGAGTTCTAACTTGTTTCAAAGTACTTTTAAAATGATTAAAAGTACTTTTAAAAACACTTATAAACTAGCGTTCTAAATCCAGCTCATAAATGGAAGAACTAGAAAGAAACAAAGAAAAGATGTACGGAAATCCTAACTACAAAAGTTGGTGTTCACATTGTGTGGTTACAACAAAAGTAGGGTTCACATTTCACTATTGAAAAGATGCACAGTACAAACGTATGAAGTTAAAGCACCAGGCCCCAATAATTGAGGGGCATTCAACAAACAAACTGGATTGAATTTAAATTATGCATCCAATAAGTTTGTGTCCACGCATTCTCAAATTTAAAAAATATAAATTTATTTTGTCGTTCCTTTTACGACAACGTTTTACAATAAAGTGTTTAAAAAACGTTACCAAACGGACTCTTAACAGTTATATAATCGCATTTACAGGGCTTACTTCAGATGCACAAGAAAGTATGATCAAGGTTGCATGGCAACCAAACAGGTCCAACAAATCCGAGACAACCCACGCACTTACCAAACCACCTACATTGGCGAGCACACGTGCAGAACCATGATCAAGGCTTCTCCAACGATCATCGGCCCTGATCCTAGGCGATCTCAGACTGTTAGCTCAGAATCTGGGTCCCCACATCGCCAAAACCCTAATTTCTTTGGCTCATCCTCGTCGTCCATTCCCATCGTCAAACAAGAAGATTCCAAAGTGGGGACACCAAGTGATGTAACGGACAACAATGTGTGGCTTGGTTTGAAGGATCACTTTGGTTTATCCGAGCCTGCCGGAATCTGCGTGTCTTCCAATGAGAATGTGGTTTCAAACATGCAGTGGGACGACATGGATTTGGTGAAGTCGATTAATTTTGAGTGTGATATTAATTTTGATGAAGCTGAGTTTCCTATAACTCCTTGTAATGATAGGTTTTGATGCTGTTTAATTTGTAGCCCCCTAGTAGCTAGCGTTTCTGAATAATGATGTAAATGATCAGTTTGAGTTGGAAGAAGTTTCACGTTGATTGTGGTTTCGTATCCCTACACATCAATCGAGTTCAGTGCAATGCTACATAACTAAACAAATATTAACCGACTAATTAGTTTTTGGTCTAGTAATATTATTACGAGAAAAAGAAAATCCTAATTTGTGGTGGTAGATAAAAATTCTTTAACGGTCACATTAGTACGAGAAAAAGAAAACCCTAATTTGTGGTAGTAGACAAAGATTCTCTAACGAGCACATTAGTTGTAAAGTAAAAAAGAATTAAGTTAATTTTACTTAAAAGTTTATAAAAATTGTACATAAGTGGATTCAGTTAGTCAACTAGAACAATATGTCTGCTTCATCTCACACCTAATTGAGTTTAAATTATTGACGTCGTAAAAGAGAGTATCCTAATAATGATGCTTATGATCAGTTAGTTAGAAAAACTGAAACCACATTAACTAATGTGTAAGCCTATCGTTATCTCAAAATCTTACTTAGGGTTATCCCACACTTGTCATGGAAGAAGTGGGCATGTACATAACATAAATGAATATGGTATACACTTTAAAAGTTAACAAAAATTATACTGCCATGCGAGATCAGTGTGCTCGTTCTCTTGCTTTCGAATTTGGATTATCATTCTGGGAGATTAGATCACTACAAAATACCATTTTTCAAAATAAATAATAAATAAGGTTTACAAACATCTATTAACCAGAAAAAAAAAAGTTTACAAACACCTGTGTGAAACTACTTTAATTAACCTCCCCAGAAGATTAGGATGACTGACTGAGAGTAATTTGGTTAATTAGCTCCCATGATCTTTTCATTGGCTAAACAACATTATAAAGAAAATTGACCTGCCAGCCGAAGTACAAGCATTTCCTGCTTAGTGATCTCAATTTTTCTTGTCATCTGACTCCCATCTACGTTCAGCAGAATTGAAAATAAAATCCATACTGCCGCTGCTGCCGCCTGAATTAAACATGGCAGCAGCCAAATCCATCACAGGAAAGTCAACTTCTTTACCGGTGTAGCGTGTGCCGGTGGATGTACCGACGTCATCACCACCGCCGCCACAACTGCCACCGATCATACCACCGCTGCTGCTGCCCCCTCTAATAGGGTTAAAGTCCATGGAAAGCCATCGAGATGTTGGAGACTCAGTGGTTGCTGCCATCTGATCTTGTGTGATATGATGATCTGCTGCGGGTGGTAGAATTGAAGGTGCAGTGGCTGACATGTGGCATGTGTGTTCACCTCTGTACGTTACTTCAAATGTCGAGGGATCATCGTCCAGCCTCTGGACAAGCTTCTTGGCCAGGCAATTGTACAACTTTTGATGGGTGCATCTATAGTAGCTCCTGAAAAAGAAACATGATATAATTAATCAGTAAAACAACATTTAAAAGTAGCGTTTTGAAGAGAAAGAAAAATACAATGTATCAAACTGTTATACGTGCAACCGACATTAATAGTTGACGGATAATGAATTTTTATTTCTTCTATAGTTTGGCGATTGAAGTGATTCATTAAAATACAAGGGGAGAAAACTTAATCACCCGTCAACTGCATTAATTAAGTAATTTAGTAGTTAACTGTGGCTAAACATTTGAATTTAGCGAATATATAGTACTAATTGAACATTCTCAAGTCACTCCACTCTGGGCATGGGTTTTCCCATTTACTAAGAAGCAATTGGTCATAAGAACTGAATATTGTTTGCCAAATTCTGGTGAAGACTGATTGATTGCTGACCAAGTCAAGTCTGGTCCACGTATGAATTAATATTTCATTCCATGAAGAAAATGACACTAATTATACCAACCCGAACAAGTTAAAGGGCTCCAATATCTATCATATATAGCATACCTGGTAAACTACTAAGATGGAGAAGTAGAAGAAAGTGACATATCCTTGAATTGAACATGTCAAATAAGATATAAATAACCTTAATCTATGATTATGGTCAAATTAATTACCTTGGGAATCTGCTGTTTATGATCTCCTTTTGACCATATTTTCTCCAAGTGAAGCCATCCTCAGGTGGGATTTCAGTGTTTCCAATCCTAGGTGCTGGCACTGTCATTTTGCTAATTAACCCTTGATCTTTCCTATTTAAGTAATCAAAATGAATATAATGGTATGATTAGAAAACAAGTGCATGCTGCCGAAACAGTTTGGAAAGTACTTGATTCACAAAGTAAAAGCCATGTAATGTTTATATGCTTTATTGAGGTCATTTTCAAAGAAGCAACCTGGTAATGCTCTTCTGCTTTCGATACATTTTCCTTATCTCTTCTTAGCAAAGTTACCGTATTTGTTTTCATACTCTAGGACAGGCAGTGTTCTTGTCAATAATGTGTCGATATATTATCATCGCCAATAGATGAACATGTTATTAATACAATATTGACAATAACGTTACAATACAGACTACACTGTGTTGTTCAATTGTCATACACAGTTACACACACAAAGCAATATCTTTTACGGAGTTGTCTTGTTTGTGTGCCAATAATTTAACATAATGTTTTTACTTATACATGCACAAATTAAGGTCATGTTAAGTAATCACATAATATAATCTCTCAAATTTTGGAGATAAACGAACCTTTGTCGCGGTCTTTGTGAGCTTGATGAAGCAATGTTCACGTCAGATGCTGGCACAACATCCACTGCCTGAGAACCCCTAACTGCCGCCTCCGAACCCCGGATATCAATGCCACCACTGATCTTCGCTTCGTTTCGATCAGCTGCTAGTTGGGTTTGGATTATATCCATTGCCTGCGGATTAGGCCTCAGCCATTGTTCAACACTTGTTCCAATCTGCTGGTGCTCAAGTGTTAAAGTGTTGTGAAGATATGAACTACTACTTGAATCTTGACTACGTAAAACCCCTTCTTTTGCTGAACCAAAAATCTTTGTGATTTCTTCCAATGAATTGAAGAGTGAGTTAGGTTGGGTGGCCAAGTTGGGTAGGGTTTCTCCAAGCTCTCTAGCCAACTCGCACCCATGGAGGATTAAAGAAATGATTTCATCCATGGCTTCTGGTTCTAGCTGCTTTTGCTTTTCTTTTGGATTGGTTTGGATTTGAACATGTTATGGTGGTGATTGGGGAAATTTAAATGTGTTGTGAATATAAGCTGCTTTTGTGAGGCTTCTTCTGAGTTGGTGCTCCATGAAAAAGATTGAGAGATTGTTCAAAGGTATTTTTGTTTCTTTTACACGGTACAAAATTTGGAAAGTATGCAAATATGACCAAGTCTTGGTCAGATTGGAACAGGTGCTGGTCTACTTAATTCGGATTTCAATTTCAAACCTTCTCTTTTCCTTAGTCTAGAAGAAGACTTGCTTCATTGTGACCAATATTTTGTTGGACCCTTTTTTTAGAATTTTCAGAGGTTTGAAGGTATTACCTTAGGAGCATTTTCATTTTTACAAGACAAGACATACCTAAACTACTACATTTATTATATTTTTCATACTATATTTGTATCACTTTTTCAATATAGATAGGATTCACCAACACGTGTGAGTTCTCTCTCTATTAAAAAGGTGGTAAAGATGTGGTATGAAAATATAGAGAAAATTAGAATTAGATGCCTCATTTTAGACTTTTGTAGATTAAACATTTATGCTTTTTGAGTTTTTGATTAAGCTTTTGAAACATTTGATTAAGATAATCAGACTTAAAATACTTCAAAATAATTGAAATTAATTTACATTTAAATATCTGCTATATATTTTAAATAATTTCAACTATATTTAAGTCTAAATATTTAAACTTTTCAAATCTAAATGTACACCCACGCCAAATGGAAACATACCAACATTAAATGAAAACGTACCAACCCCGAATTAAAACGTACCTGATTACAAACTATATTAAAATGAATATTCATCTGTTTGGAATGCTTAAAAATATGTTTGATTCATACACAATACGCTAGATAGTCTTATTTTTTGGTAGATAAGTCTCTGGAACCATTTTTAGTTGATCAGAGATAAATCCTTATTATTGTAGATAATGCTAAATAATAATGATAAATCATATAATTTTGAATTAATAAAAAGGCTATTGTTCGTTGATTAATGACTCTTTCTATAAAAAAAAAATTAATTAATTAAAGTAATTTAAACTTTTACATTGTTAACGACTCTTTCTATAAAAAAAAATAATAATTAAAGTAATTCCTCATTATTAGGACAAAAAGTAATAAAACTTATGTTTTGAAAACAAACGTACCAAAAATTCAAATGTACCATTATAATCAAACGTACCGATATAACCAAACGTACCTAATAACGAGTTTTGTTACATTCTATTTAATTTACTAAAATGAATATTTTAATAAAAGATAAAAAATAATCTTAAATCATCATAATAAGAGATGCATAAAAATAGGAGGAAAAAAGGGAATGATAATGTGAATAGACTTCTAATGAAATAAAATTAAAGTACCAAAATTGTAGGGAAAATGTGTCACATCCCGGCCCAGGCCCCCACCACATCCCGGGCTTGACACCACCGTAACACGATATTGTCTGTTTTGGGCCCCGACCACGCCCTCATAGTTTTGTTTCTGGGAACTAACACGAGAACTTCCCAGTGGGTCACCCATCTTGGGAATGCTCTCGCCCGAACTCGCTTAACTTCAGAGTTCTGATGGAACTCGAAGCCACTCCCAAAAGGCCTCGTGCTAGGTAGAGATGAGAATATACATATAAGACTTACATGATCTACTCCCTGGGCAATGTGGAATGTTACAAAATGTTTAATCAAATTTGCAAAAGGAATAGATGTTTAGTCTATGACATTTAAAAACGAGGCGCCTATATCAAAACGTCCCGAAAATATATGATAAGAGTACCAGGATCGTCTCTAACATTTTGAAGGCCCTGTGTGAATTTAATAAAAAGGTTCTCCTTCTATAGAAAGAAATTTGGACAATATATTCATACAGAATTTAACCATCAATATTCAAACTTAATAGAAATCAACATCTCACTCTTACTAATTGAATAATCTCTAATTGCATGAAAT